TGCCTAAAAAAGGAACATAGCATGATAAAATTTTACTCAGCGATATAAAACAACATTATTGAAGATTTTTAAAGGTAACTTTGATATTTAGTGTCAGGATTTTTGGGTAATTTGAACTAAAATGCTATAGATGTCGAATATTAATACATGCCGACATTAAGAACACTTACCCTATATTATATCTATTTTGGATAATTCATAAGGATATGAATTTATATCTGGACAAGATGCATATGGCAAAAACTTTGCCAAAAAATGCAGTTTTGTCTACTTTTAATTCCTTATTATTGCATTTCAAAATTGTGGGTCTTGAGGAGACTTTAACTTAAGTTAACAAACTCATAAAAATAACGTCGGATTATAAAACCAATATTTAATCTTGTTGAGGTAAATATTATAAAACCTTTGGGACTCTACTGTATATTTGTGCCCAGCAACAGATAAATTAGCGTATTATACAGGCGATCCTGAAATTTTTTTTTAAATTTTCGAAAATGTTAGAATTTTTTATTCTCACAGTTAGAACACATTCTGAAATTTATTTAGAGTATCATCTATATATGGGCAATATTGCCAATTTTTTAACATAGCTGAAGCGGAGGTTCACCCCTTTATAACTCGGGAATTACTTAAGTATATGAAAGAAAGTGAATAGTTTTGGATTAATTGATCTGCCCTTACAAACTGTTCCTGATATTGACCTCCCAACTTTACTTTGGTGGAAGCTGTGTCTACTTTAATGGAAAAAAATGTGTAAAAACAGGTTGAGGCGAACCAGTTTTTTTATGTTCTCTATCGATTTGTGACTAAGCCACTCATTTCACGGCCTTCGTGTCAAAGTAAAACTACTAGCCAACAAAATGGGGACTACGCCCCTTATGTATCATTTTTCAAAAATTTCACTGCATCTGCCTTTAAATGATGCTGACATTTTGAAGCTCGATTTTGAGTGTTTTTTTAATTTTACTTCTAGCTTTAATACGCAAACAGGAATTTATAAAAATCGATTATAAGATTATTGTCGCCGCGAATCTGCGTAATTTGATATGTATTTTGTGTATGTAGTATGCACAGCTTCAGAGTAATACTCATCCGAAGGTGCGAATTTTGTGCGATCAAATTTCTAAAAAACCTATTTTTCCGACCAAATTTTTAGATCTGTCAACTGAATGATATGGGTACCCGCGATCAATAAGGTTTTTTACGTTTCGGATGACATAAAATCTTCTTCGTGAATATCCGTCTACTAGAACGGCTGGAACTGGCCTTCCAAAAACACGAAATTTGGCAAAAAAAGTTTTTGAAAATATCGCGGATTTATTTGCGTTTTCTGTGTATCATTTCCGTCATACGGATTTTGATCTTTTTCGAAAAGAGAACTTTAAAAACTTCAGCCGAAAGAGAGATCTACGCAATTTATCTCAAAAATAGATTGTGCCGGCACATCCATGGTTCTTAATGGACCACATTGAAATGGTGTAGATCGATGTATTTTTTTAGGGTGCACACCGAAATCGGATGCGCGTTAATGGCATATGGATTTTTCGGAAATTATTCGCGTTTTACGATTTTTTGGGTACTTCAATGCAACACGTGTGGCACATCTTAGCCGTCAATTGAAATTTCGCAAAATATATATGGATTGGAAGATAAACTTCAGCACTTCCTGGAAACCGCATGCGCATCAAATGATTTTGAGAATTATGCGATTTACACGCAATTTAAAATGTATATTTCATAATATTATTTTATTTTAAGATTTATTCCTATTTATAGAATTCTAAGATTTATCGGAAGGGTCTTGATATAATCCGCAAGGCGTATACTTATACACAAAAAGTGATTATTATTATATATGTAAATTTTTCGACGAAATTCGGGTAAAATAGCAGAATAACCCCAACATTTTTTTCTGAAATTTCTTGTATACAATTAAAAAAAATAAATATGATGACATTATTTTTTCGAACCAAAAACAAATATTTTTCCTCAATATCTTGTTTTGTTGTCCGCTACACGGACTTGTGTGATTTTGATATCATTTGATTCATCATGGTGTTTAGATTATGTAGATATTTTTAAATTAATTTTTAGGTGTGTGTATGTTATTAATATAATGAAAATATTGATGTAATCTGCTATATATTTTTTATTTTTCTCATATCGTTATTATTATATATTCATATTCTTATTTTACGGAGAAAGATATATATCAACGTTTCTGGTCATCAATATAATAAACGGCGTAATTTTAAGATTTTTTTCTTATGCCCAAAATTAAAACCTCGATATATTTTGCGCGCATCAACCAAGAATTTGATCGCGAACGGTTTCGGAGTCAGAACATTTTTCTCTATATGTGTACTAAAAATCATTGATGTGCCACAAAAACAAAAAAGCTGATTTTTTGAAAATGTAATATTAAAAAATTGGCAATATTGCCCATATATAAAATAGAAAAAAATTAGTTTGTTTGTTTGTTTGTATGATACCGATAGACGCCAAAACCGCTGAACAGATCTTAATGAGATTTACACTGTATGTCGGGGCATGCCCTGAAAGTAACATAGGCTATATAAACTTTTAAAATTCCGCGTGGATGCGGAGTTATAGCATCAATAGTAAACATACCTCAAAATTTCTGAACATGTAATATGCGTTTATCTTAAGAACGGTTACAGATACCGTTTTCAAAATTTGACTGAATAACGAAGGTGTGAATACACACTCTCCATACAAAAATGAGCATGGTACGATCAACGGAAAATACACTTTCTACTGCATTTTAAAAATCTGCATATTGAAAATTTAAAATATTTTATTTGTAGACTCTGAAAAAAGTTTACTGAGATTTTCACAGAACGTCATAACTTTCCCTGGGAATAACATATGCTATATAAACTTCTAAGACTTCCCGAAGATGCGGTGTTATAGCATCGAACGTAATCATACTTCAAAAATTATGAACATGTAATTTGTGTATATCTTAAGTACGGTTATAGATACCGACTTCAAACTATTGCTGAGTAACGTGAGTGTAAATACGCATCATCCACACAACATGACCGCTGACGAGTGAAAACGCACACCTCATTGCGTTTAAATCTATACATAGAAAATAGAAAACTTATTGTTTTTGGACTGAAAAAAAAACACTAAACAGATTTTACTAATATGTTCATGGTAAGTCAAGCGATCCCATGGAAGTAACATAGGTTAGATAAAACTGAGGAGTAATAGCATCAAAAGTATTCATACATCTTAAAGAATGTACATACATACATATGTCGAACATTTTCTATGGGTATATCTTAGGGTAGCGGCTTGAAAATATGGTTGAGTAACATGGATACAAATACTCATCATCCGATGAGGATATATTTTCGAACGATAAGGATATGTACATATGTACATATATTGAAATAAAAATTGTGTAAAATTGAAAAAAGGTTGACATTATAATTTTCCATTTTTGTCAGTATGTGAAAACAAGTTTATTTTGAACAAAATCAAACATAATAGTTCCGTTCCAGAACCTAAAAGAATCTTCTAATTTTACAAGTTTTGCAACTTTTTACTCGAAAACATTGAATAAAATTTAAGAGATCACAAAACAAAATGGCGTTCTCTTTGTAAACTTTTGACTCGAGAAATTTGGCCGAGTAAAAATAGTAAAAATTAATGCCTACTTCTGATTGGCTGTTATGTTGATTTTGAAGTATTGCTTGAAGTGAGTAGTGAGCATTTTAATTATAAATCAGCAGTGCCCAAAATAGGTCCCATGGGCTTTCGGTGTGTGTCAAAACTCTCACACACACAGTGATAAAAATAGAAACATTTGAAAATTAAAAAAAATATTTTCAAAATTGTCATTTATTCCTATTTGTTTTCATACACTGAACCAAAAAATTAGGACATTTTTCGCAAAAAATATTTCAGAAAAAGTCGAAATATGTGACAAATACATTGGGGATTGGCAAAACAGAAGCAGATCTATATATAGGAAAATATATCATCAACAATCATATTTGCATTGAATACGAAATATTTTTCTGTCTTAAAATTTGAAATACAAGTTTTTACAATTTTTCTCACAGTTTAATAAGAGAGAAACATAAATTTGAAAATTGTGTATTTCAAACAAATATAATGACAAACATTTGCATGTATTAGTGTGGACAGCCCTGTTATAAATCGTTTTATTATCTGGAAAAAATCAGAGCCTGGGATAGGATAAGTTCAGATACACCACTACTTTTTTTAAAAAAAAATACCATTTTGTGGAGGAGATAGCAGATGGAGGTGATAGATTGTGTAAAATTGTTAAAAAGTATTGACATTATAATTTTTAAATTGCTGTTACTTTTCGAATAAATTGTGTTTCAAGAAAACAAAAATTACCACTGTTACAGAAAACAGCGAATAATTTAATAAATACTATACAACTACTACAACACGGACATTTCACACTTTTTTGTAGCGACCATATAAAAATACCGTTGTTTACCTAATTTTAAAATTTAATTTAGTAAATATTGCAGTTGTATATAGGACGCTTACTAATTGATCCTATTTAAATTTTAATTTGATAACTTCAGTAGGGGCAGCGAAGCGCCACGGGTCCCGCTAGTAAAATATATATATATTATAAATTCAAGATCAGTGTGACTCTTACATAGACACGCAGTTGTCCAATTTACAGACGAAATAAGGGAATTAAAATTAAAGTTAATTTACTTTTATAGTTAACAATGCAATACAGTTTTAAATGAATATACATAAGTGATTTTTGTAGTACAATGAAAGGGTCATCTTATTCAGTTCCTATACGTAAACAACATTTAGAAACTGTTTTTATCCATTTAATACGTATGTACCTTTTACTTTGTCTTTGTTAGAAACTCCACCCGGATTTTTTTACTACTTAACTTACATTCAAACAAGACTCGTACACATAAACAGTTCTAAAAGTTAACTGCTGTATGTTTTATAAAACTTACCTTTTTTCTTTTTACTGGGGCCTTTTGTATTAACCAATGTAGTAACTTGCAATACCAGAGGTTCCAATGTTTTTTCAACGGACATTGTACGAATTTCCAAATTTTTGGGATCCCATTTTAAGGCAATTTGCCCGAAGTCTGACAAGGTGCCCATTTTATGCCCTTTCAATCAGATCAATTAAGTTTTAAATGGAAGACGCCTATTTTCGCTAAATACACAAAAAATGTCGTGTACTTGGGTATTTTAACGACAATAACACGCTTTCAATTCTTATCTGATATAAACAACTATTTATCAAGTCAATAAAATACAAGCCCACAATATCTCTGAAAATGTAAAATTTTATATATCTTTCACAAAAGAATAAAAAAATTTCTGCAGTCGCCACTAGGGATAAGTAAATCGACTTTGGACTAATCGATTAATCGACTTTCTGTATTGAAAAGTCTAAAAGTCGACTTTTCAAGATCGACTTTCGACTATCTTCATTAATACTTGGTTTATTGTCAATGAAACATATGAACACAACCTTCTTGCTAGATTTTAAAAATATTTCTTTTTTATCACCAATTTACTCATTAAAAAATAGTGCAACAAACGTGACTTTTCAACAACTGAAAAAAAAAATGGAAAACGTTCTACCAGCTAACGAAAGGGAGGAGAAGACAAAATGGCCGAAAATGATGAACTCAAATATTACGAATGAAGTGGGATAGAGACTAAATGAGAACCGAATTGTTTACAACATATACACTCACAGCAGCTGCAGTCAGAGAACCGAGCCAGACTGAAATGTTAATGTGTGACGGCGTTGTTATATGCATATTGACAACGCAGAAGTTTGCTGACGTTAAAGGTCTGACAATTTAAAATTTTGGGTTTGGAATGTAATTGATTACAAATTAAATTGCATTAGTCGGTAAAAGTCGAAAATCGATTTTTTCACAAAAGAGTAAAGAAAATACTTATCCTATGTAACTGCGTTATACATTAAACGCAAATCACAAGTGTTGTAAAACGTATTTTTGAAATTGTAATGATAACGCAACGTTTACATTCTCGTGTCGTCAACCGAAGTGGTAACATCGTACCGACCGCGAGTGCGAAATTTTTCAAAAACAAACACAACAAGCATTTTTACCGTTATTCGCCGAAATTCTTTCAAGTTCTAGAACATATTTTTTTCAATCGTGGAAAGGAATTTGAATTAAAGCTGATACCTTCAAGATGCCTGGTGATCCAGGAGACCCAGGTGATCCTCCCACACCCAGAAGTAGCAGTAAGCGTTCTTCCAGCCTAGAAAGATCATACAACGGCAGAGAAAATAAACTGATCAAGACTGATGAGGAGATCCCCTCTTTAAACAAACGTTCACCAATATCAATTGATAAATCTACGCCCAACATTAATCCTATTAATACGAATCCAGTAAGTACAACACAAAATATGGACGCGACTCCCGTGGCCACAGGCGTTGTTGATCAGCCAAGTGTTACATACAGGTATGAAAGCGACCACACTGGCCCATTCATGGTATATGTAGCTTTATCCCGATATGTCAAAAATATGGGAATTAAAGAAAAATTAATAGAAATAAAAAATAGGATATTGAAGAAGCAAAGTTGTTTTCAAAACAGCAGAGGCAGAAAATGATTTTGCCAATGACACTAGCCTACTTGCTAATAACTATCAACCAAAAATTATCGCCCATATCGTATCGAAATGGGGCATGGTATTCCCAGTGGATACCTTTATTAGTGAATAGGAGATAAAAGAAAACTTCATAAGTGATGTGCCAATCCTAAAGATTTTCAGAGTAATGCGAAGAGAGGGCGAAGAGTCATATCCTACCCGAAGAGTCAAAATATTATTCAAAGGGATCATTTTGCCGCAAGATATATCGATTTATGGAGTGTCACGCCTAAAAGTACAACCCTTTGTTCCTTTGTCGCTATGTTATAGCTGCTACCGATTTAACTATTTTGCAAAACACTGCAAGTAAAAAATCCACCCCGATCCACCTTATATCTGCCCCAACTGCAAAGGGAACCACGACCCAATGGATAAGAGATGTCCCGCAAGAGCAAAGACATACAACATAAAGCGCACTATGCTTTTAGAAAATCTCACAATTAGCGAAACAAAAACGAAATATCCATACCTTCTTAGTAACAGTTTTTTAATTCTTGATAGCGATCAGGGTGAAAATTTCCCAGTTCTACCAACTCCATTTTGCTGAAAACATTCAAGAATCTGCAAAATTCATTCACGCTTCAAACCCTTTCTCTAAAGTTGCCAAAATTAATCGCAATAGACTTCGCGAAGAAGAAAACGCAAGGAAAACACAAGAAATGCATAAATAAGTTTTGACCGAGGGAGAGGTCTACGTGACACCCAATGGAACAGCACTTTCGTTGACTGAAAATTTACGACCAGCCAGTTTCGAATCAGTCCTAAACAAAATGATGATTATGTTAAATGGAATATTATTATCACACTCACAACTCGATCAAGATCAAATGGTAGCTATAAATAAAATCCGTCAAGAAATTGATTGTATAAGAATTAATAATGATGCAGAAGTGATAATTAGATAAATCAACACCATTACAAAATTAAATATTTAATATGAAATTACTTCAATATCCAAAGTTTATGTAAAAACAATAATAAATCATTACTAGAATTATATATGGAAAGTCACTCTATTGATATAGCACTTCTTTGCGAAACGTGGTTGAAAGACAACACCCCATCGAAACTTTTAACATTTAATCTCGACATGGAAGTAATCGGAATTTGCACATTAAATCTGGAGAAAAATGTTAACTTCATTATGATTTACATTCCTCCCAATACAAACAGACAACAGTTCAAAACTATGGTAGACGGCATTTTAAGCACATTTGAAAACTGCCAAATTCCAACAATCATAGGAGATTTCAATGCACATTCATCATTGTGGGGAGATACAAACACGGATCACCAAGGTCGTTTTCTTTGGGAGACCAAAGCATGGTTTCTGGTGTATCAACGACGGCAGCCCAACTTTTCCAATAGGTGAGAATTACTGTTCAATCTTAGACCTCGCATTTGCAAAGACTTTGGATTGTGTACCTGAGTGGAAAGTGTCCGGATACAAGCTCACAAACAGTAATCATCGCCCTATAATCATGGATTTTAAATATAATAAAACTAACCGCAATTTCAAGATTTGCCATAAAGCCGTCATCAAAAACATCTCTAAAATGAATACAGTTAATTCCATGGAAGAATTTAATTCAAAAATTCTAACAATAATAAAAAACAATACGGTGATTATTCCTCCTAATAACAAATATATACCAAAGCCGTGGTGGACCGAAGAGACATCAAGACTTTTTAAATGCAGAAATGCCGCCAGAAAAGTATATCGCAAAACGAAAAAGTTGAATTATTTGATAGCATACCATGAAGCTGAAGATATACTAAGCGAGGCATAAAGCAGAAAAAACGTAAAAATTTTAATGATCTTATTAACAAACTATCTTCGGTTTCTTCTGGGAAACAACTATGGGGCACCGTAAAAAATGTAAGAAAATATAGACAGAACAAACCTTCTAATCACTCTTGGGACGCACAACAAAATACCCAGTTTCTCCAGTTAATAGCAGAGAACACAGGAATTACGAATGACCACCAACCTCTTACAACAACCCTCTCAACTAATGTCAATAGTGAAATTAGTACACCGAGCCAACATTACACGTTTAATTATAATGAATTCACTAATTTTCTAAAATCCAGAAGTGTAAACTCGGCGCCTGGGCTAGATCGAATTTCATATGAATTCCTTCAAACGCTATCTATTGAAGCACAAAAAACCTTTAATTTATACACAATGGAACTTCACGATATAGCAGATGAAAACTTTCACGTTTTTCAATTCGCTGACGATTTTTTCCTCCTAATTCAGCACAGAGATTTCGCGACAGCAAAAGAAATGTTGAAATTGAAAATCGAACAATTTTCGGCCCGCTGCAGAGGCCTGAAAATGAATTTTAACCTTGCCAAAACTAATATAATCCACTTTAATAGAAGAGCACGTCAACTGGATGTAACCTGCAACGACACCCCAATACCACAGGTCTTCAAGATCAAATATTTAGGTTTCTATATTGCATCTAATAACTCTGCTACAGATCACATAGACTACACTATAGGAAAAGTTGACAAGACAAGCCAATTTCTAAGCATATTGGGTGGCTGTAGATTTGGAATAGACCCTAGAAAGTCTCTACTAATATACAAGTCATGTGTTAGATCTAAAATGGAATATGGAATATCACAAGAATTAAAATCGCGGCAAAGCCTTTCCTACGGTAATTTCTAGGTTTAATTAAATCAACACCCACGCAGTTTATATATCACCTGGCTGCAGAACTACCACCTGATTCAAGATTCCAGTTATCATCAGCAAAAGAACTGATCAAATCATATGCATACAATAAACCCATCGTACAAACATTAGAAGAAATGTCACACACCATCAATACAGGCATTTGCAAGACCACAAACAGATTCAGGCACATCATAGCGGAAGTAGGCAAGGCGACGCCTTTTCCTGCAAAATCAAACAACATCACAGTCGTAGAAGATTTTTTCGAGGACATGGTAACAGGAAAGAAACAAGCAAATGCCGAAATGATCAATAGCCTTGTGAAAAAGAAATTAACAAAACTTGAAGTCGAAAATTTTGAAATTTTTTCAGCGATGGGTCAGTCATGTCAGATCATACAGGTTGGGCATTCGTGCACAAGTCATCAGGCACTGTTTTTGCTTTTTACAACAAAAAAAGATTATCATCAATGTCAGCCGAATTAATTGCCATGACCAAGGCAGTCGAATTTGCAGTCAACAACGACATAAACAAGGTGGATATTCTTACAGACAGCCTTAGTGGTACACTTGCCATCAAAAATGGAGGTAAAAGTAACTTCCTAGCTGAAAAACTGGTGAAATTAGCAAATCAAATCAACGGCAAAATTGAAATTCATTATGTTCCCGGCCACTCCAACATCTTCTTCAATGAGGCGGCTGATCAAGCAGCAAAAAGAGCTAACTAAATAGGCACGGAATTAAACACCCCCTTAACCCTTGGGGACGCAATAACC